ACTGAGGGTCCCATTTTCCTTTTACCTATCAGCCAGAGACCACTCTCAGCTCTTAGAGGCCACCACAGTCCCTTGCCATGTGACCATCTCAAAACATTGCAGCTTCTTCAAAGCCAGTGAGAGCCTTTCTCCCTCCAGTCTGCTAAGACAGAGCCTTATATAATATAACCTAGTCAAAGGAGTGACATCCCATCACCTTAGTTGTATTCTGTTGGTTAGAAGAAAGTCACAGGTTCCATACTCAAGAGGGAGGGATTACACAAGGACATGAGTCATTGGCAGTCACCCTGGGGTGTGTCTGCCACAATGGTTGAATGACTGAGTATAGAGTGGTAGCTAATGAGCCCCTGTGAGCCTGGAGGCAAGTCTGGATGGCAGATAGCAGGGTCCTGTTCAACAGCTTTGTTAGTGACTAATGTGAGGATATGGATGAACTGGTAATCCAATACTTGTGTGACATGAATCTGTATATACTAACTAATAGATGATAGAATCAGAATTCAAGATGATCTGGAGAGCCTGAAACAGTAAAACAATGTCAAAAAAAATGAAATAGAGAATATGTGTAAAGTCCTGCTTGTAGATGGAAAAGACCAAACACAAATATTAATGGGTGGGCATAGCTTAGAGGAAATATGAAAAGCATGGGGGTTTTAGTTGATAGTAAGCAACTAAATGTGTCTACTAGAGAAGCTAATGTGATATTTGACTATATTAAAACAAATATTATATCCCAAATGAGGGAGGTGAAACTCCATTCAGTATGGCAAGAGTACCCCTGGAGGATAGTATATACTCTGGGGAGCCCCTTTCAAGAGGGACATTCACAGACCAGCATGCTTAGAAAAATATGGCCAGGATGATGGAGTCTAGAAACCATGTGTTGTGAGGAAGGATTGAAGGACCTGGGAGCTTTAACCCAGGAACTTGAACCAGGAGAGACTGCTTAGTGGGGAACAAGACAGCTGTCTACAACTATTTGAAAGGCTATGATGTGACAGAGATTTTAGATGACATCTGAGGAGCTCCAAAGGGTGAAACAAAGACTAGAGGGTATTCATTAAATAAAGATAAATTTTGTTTCTATACGATGTTCCTCATAAAAAATTGATGTTACCTGAAAATATAATGGCTTCCCTGAGCAATAGGGGTGCCCAAACTCTAGAAGGGCTGGACAGTTGTAACTAATGGATGTTGTAGGTGCAAGTCACACTTTGAATAAAGGGTGGGCTTTCAAATGACAATAAAGTTCTTCAGTGCTTGATCTATTTGTTTCCCTGTTCTTTCTCAACTTAAATTCAGAATGAGGGCAGATCTCAGCAGATGTGCACCCTCATAAAATAAGAGCTTCCTAAATGTCTTTTGGAATTGTAATACTTTAGACAATCCTATCATGATAGTCTGGATATTTTCTAGATATAAATTTCATAGTTTTATTATTCTGCTTGTTTAATCGTTAGCTTATTTTCTACAAGGACACTTCTGACATATTTAGTTTATACATAGTGTGGCTTGTCAGCTAAGGAAGTGTATGAAAAGCTCATGGTTGAAGATTCAGACCCTGGCTTTAAATTAATTAANGACTCTTGGCAGCCCAGCTCCAGGTTGAGCTGTTGTTCAGCATCCCAGCTGAAGAGGGCAGTGTCACTGGCCCTCATATGTGGGATCCGAACCGGAGCCCTCTGGCATCCCAAGCCAGTTCTTAACCATCGCGCCACTCGGCCGGCCCCCCAGGACCCAGTTTTAAGAGATATGTGGATTTTACCATTGCAGAGCAGTCTGCATATACCACAAATTTTATATCTAAAATACAGTGCATACCAGTTAAGTCTCTTTGGGATCTTTAACCACATCTGAACACTTCTCCATACCACCAACCTAAGTAACAAACGTTTCTTATTCCAGGGGACCAAACTGGGAAGAAAGCTATAAGTACCAACTCAGAGCTCTCCACCTTCAGATCAGATATTCTGGATCTTCGACAACAACTTCGTGAGATTACAGAAAAGACCAGCAAGAACAAAGATACGCTGGAGAAATTACAAGCGAGTGGGGATGCACTGGTGGACAGGCAGAGCCAACTGAAAGAAACTTTGGAGAATAACTCTTTCCTCATCACTACTGTAAACAAAACCCTCCAGGCATACAATGGCTATGTCACGAATCTGCAACAAGATACCAGCGCGCTGCAGGGCAATCTGCAGAACCAAATGTATTCTCATAACGTGGTCATTATGAACCTCAACAACCTCAACCTGACCCAGGTGCAGCAGAGGAATCTTATCACTAACCTGCAGCGCTCTGTGGATGACACGAGCCAGGCTATCCAGCGAATCAAGAACGACTTCCAAAATCTGCAGCAGGTTTTCCTTCAAGCCAAGAAGGACACTGATTGGCTGAAGGAGAAAGTCCAGAGCTTGCAGACGCTGGCTGCCAATAACTCTGCCTTGGCCAAAGCCAACAACGACACCCTAGAGGATATGAATAGCCAGCTCAGTTCATTCACAGGTCAAATGGACAACATCACCACGGCCTCACAAGCCAACGAGCAGAACCTGAAAGACCTGCAGGACATACACAAGGATTCAGAGAACAGAACAGCTATCAAGTTCAGCCAGTTGGAGGAACGCTTCCAGCTCTTCGAAACAGATATTGTGAACATCATTAGCAACATCAGTTACACAGCCCACCATCTTCGGACACTGACCAGCAATCTGAATGAAGTCAGGACCACTTGCACGGACACCCTGACCAAACACACAGATGATCTGACTTCCTTGAATAACACGTTGGCCAACATCCGTTTGGATTCTGTTTCTCTCAGGATGCAACAAGATATGATGAGGTCAAGGTTAGACACTGAAGTAGCCAACTTATCAGTGATTATGGAGGAGATGAAGCTGGTGGACTCCAAGCATGGTCAGCTCATCAAGAATTTTACAATACTACAAGGTGAGTGAAAATTCTGAATTTATGTTTGTATTAGTTATTTATTTGCTATTTACTCTAAAACTTGACAATTTAAAACAATGAACATTTATTATCTCATAGTTTCTGAGAATTAGAACTTCAGGAGCAGCTTAACTGGGTGGTTCTGGCTCAGTATCTCTCATGAGGTTGTAATCAACATATTGGCCAAGACTGCAGTCATCTGAAGCTTTAATTTGAACTGGAGGACCTACTTCCAAGATGGCTCATTCACATGACTCTGGGCAGGCAGCCTCGGTTCCTCACTAGGTGAAATTGATTGAGTGTCCCCACAGCATGGCAGCTGGCTGCCTCCAGAGCAAGTGATCCAAGAGAAAGAGCAAGAAAAAACCCACAGTGCCTTTTATGATCTAGCCTCAGAAGGCACGTAACACCACTTCTACCATATTCCGTTCTTTAGAAATGAGAGACTAAGTCCAACCCGCACTCAAGGGGGAGGGGAATTAACTCCATGTCTTCAAAAGATGTGTAACTAAGAATTTGTGGACAGTGCTCCCAGGTACTCCATTAAATATTTGGTGAATGCAAGATGGGTTGACTTAG